TTTTTTTTTTATTGCAGTTTGGCTGAAGCCATGTTTGAGCCTGCCACCATCGGTATATGGGGCCAGCACCCTACTCTCTGAGCGACAGGTGCCGCCCCATAAAAGAGCATATTTTCAAACTTCTGAATTTTGCCACTGTGATGCATTTCCTTTAAAAAAATCTATCTTGGCATAGCTTTAATTTGAATTTTTCTTCTTATAAGCAAGGCTGACCTATAGCTTTAAAAACATTCCTGTCTTATCGATGCTTCTGTTCATTGCTTTGCCCTTTGTGACCATTTAACCTTGCACTTTCTGGGCACACAATGGTCTGTTTGACCAATAAGCATAAAAGGGGTGGAATCTGCAAGTAAGCAGTTGCTGGTTTCCCTACATCTTATTCCTAAGGAAGAAACCAGCTATACGTCTGCTCAGTGGCTATGATTTTGATGGTTATGCCTGGCTTTGTTTCTAAGATATTTTAAGTCAGAAAACTGGAATGAAGAAAAAAATTAAACAGTGACTGTACAAAGCAAGATGAAGCCAGGGATGAGGGCAGTAGACTAAATATCCTCGACAATGGCTACAGGCAAGTCATATATTTTGGTCAGTCAAAGAGAGAAACAAGGTTCAAGACAGAATGCATGTCAACAGTGCCCTGGGGAACCTGGCTCTTCTGAGGCTGCGCCAGACCAGACAGAGCGCTGAGGGGAGACCTTCCTGCCTCCTGTGCCCTTCAGTGTTCCGGACGCAGTGCCGTGTGTAACTGCAGCAGACGAGGAAGCAACAGGACAGGAAGAGAGGCGGTGAAACTCATGGGAAGAGACGACAGAGGAAGAACGTTTAGCAAGAAATAAGGAGAAGGCCGGGAACAGTGTGGCTCACGTCTGTCATCCCAACACTCTGGGAGACCGAGGCGGGTGGATTGTGTGAGCTCAGGAGTTTGAGACCAGCCTGAGCACACGTGACACCTGTCTCTAAAACTAGCTGGGCATTGTGGTGGGTGCCTGTAGTCCCAGCTACTCAGGAGGCTGAGGCAAGAGGATCGCTTGAGCCCAAGAGTTTGAGGTTGCTGTGACCTGTGACACCACAGCATGCTACTGCGGGTGACACAGTGAGACTCTGTCAAACAATCAAACAAACAGAACTAAGGAGAGAGGAGGGGAGAAAACAGCTCAGAAATTGCAGTGGGCAATGAGCAGTTTCCTCTAAATACACCACAGGTGGATGGATTATTCAAGGCACAGAACCGGAAAGCATTTAGCACCAGTTCTCAAACTGCAGGAGTTGTTGCAATCTAGCATCACCCTAGTTCTGCGAAATTCCTGCATTACCGTGTAGCCTGCTTGCCGCCCTGACCGCGGTCAGGTTCCGTTTTTCTCGTCTTAGCTGCCTTTTCCAGTAAAGTCACACTTGGGGGTTGAGCTCTGTGGAAGGAGGGACGGCTTTAAGGTTGGATGTGGACGGCTTTAAGGTTGGATGTTGACAGCAGCACACTGGAAGTCAACCTTCGAGTTCCTAGCAGAAGGGAGTGCCATGCTAAGAACGAGTCGGAGAAGCTGGAGACCATCTTCATATCTGCATCGTGACAGCACTTTGCTTCCAGTGTACTTCATACATAACATTGTCACTTTAAATCTAGATTGCAAAGTGAGTCATGATGTGATTGGAGCTCTGGTGGGAGCAAATTTGCTTTAAAAGGAAGTATGAGCAGCAGGAAAACGTTCTAAAGCCTTGTGGTGAAAGTTTATTTAAAAACCCAATGTTGTTATATTGTCTTTACACACACACATACATACACACACACAGTCACACGTACACAGTCACACACACATTCTCTCACACAGTCACACACACACATTGTCACATATACACAGTCACACACACACACATACACACACACAGTCACACACACACTCACACATACACAGTCACACACACACATTCTCACACACACAGTCACACACACACATTGTCACATATACACAGTCACACACACACTCACAGATACACACACA